TTAGTACTTGTCTCGTGTGTTATTTGTACTCTAGGAAGCACAATTGGATATTAATGAATATTATTGTAATTTTTTGGCATTAATTTAAGTGAACACTATCCTCTTTTTCTTTTAGGCAAACTCTTCTGTTTTCTGCAACTCTTCCAAAGCTATTGGTGGATTTCACCAAAGCAGGTAATAATGGCTTCAGTCTTCATAGTGAACTTCATTGGATGCACATGTTTGACCCTGGTTACCAACAGAATGCTTGAGCAGTCTGGCTGAAGGAGAGTTCAAGAAGAATGATGCACCACTGTATCACTTGGTGTCTCTTTACTAAATCAACAGCTTATTTCACAATAACTGTAGAAATTATCACATGGTCATTGGTCAAGAGCCATTGTCAATAAGGGTGATATGGGTGTGACGAGCTGATTGATACATGTATGCATATTGGAGGACAGGTGCATAAATGACATCACCATTAACAACATTTTGTTTTTTATGAAATGAAACATAGATTCCATGTTGTTGTGGGTTAGTACAGTTACTGTTGTAATAGATCATAGAAGATGTCAAAATGTGTCAAGAACATCTGCTCAGTGACACACTTGGCTGTGGCGTGTGTGCTCGAATTTTTTGTTCTTACCACATTTTGATGGCATCTGCATGTGAGAGGTTAGGTGCACAGCAGTATGGAATTTATTTGTGACATTCAATTATTTGTTGCCTGAGATGGTCCTTACTTGCTGTTTGTTGGGTAATGGGCAAAATCTTTGGATCTTGCTATGTTTGGTCTGTAACTTATTTCCTCAAGTCTGAGTTTTTCCTATTTGGCTCTCCATCCTCATTCAATATGTACATCTTATTTACTCTCCTTGGCCAGGCTTGACTGATCCGGTGCTCATAAGACTGGATGTTGACTCCAAACTCAGTGAACAGCTTAAGGTATTATTCAACTCTTGGTCATCTTATTGATACTTTATCAACAGATTAATCCAATCAGTTTGCAGTTGATAGGTGGCAAGAAACTGAAATAAAGTATTTGACAGAATTGAATTTGAATTTACAGAATGTGTTGGTGCAATAGTGAATACAAGTTAGATTTACCTTCACCTGACGATTAGATATCATCTACTATATGAGCATTTTTATTCTTCTCTTCTGGGCTTTTCCAACTTATTGAAAGAGCATGATACTGTAGGGCACATTCGGCCTTTACACCCTAACATCAGTTTGCATATTCTCCATACTGTTCTCTGTACATTTCCTAAGGTGCTGACAAGGAGAATTTGTTTAACAATCAAGAGCTTCTTTAGTTGGTGATCATTTCCTTTATTCAAGAGACTTTAACCTTTTAACTCCTAAGCAGTGACCAGCATCTAATTTCTCCTTACAATATCACCCCTGAATAAAACATTAAGGTCAGGAGAATAAAGGAAATGATCAACAACTACAGAAACTCTTGATTGATAAGCAAATTCTCTTTATGTATTTGTGCACGATCCTCGCAGTAAAGAGCACTATTTAAGCAATAGTGAAAATCACACCTGAAAAAACTCAGGCCTTCACGGGATTCGAACCACTGACCTCAGCGATACTAGTGCAGCGCTCTACCAATTGAGCTAACAAGCCAACTGGGAGCAGGTCATCAAATTAGTCCGACATAAACCCGTAAGATGACAAATCAAACACAACGAATATGTGAAATTCATATATCTGAACTGCGGTTATAGAAACGTATTTGTGCACGATCCTCGCAGTAAAGAGCACTATTTAAGCAATAGTGAAAATCAGATCTGAAAAAATTCAGGCCTGTACAGGATTTGAACCACTGACCTCTGCGATACTAGTGCAGCGCTCTACCATTTGAGCTAACAAGCTAACTGGGCTGGGAGCAGGCCATCAAATTAGTCCGACATAAACCCGTAAGGTGATAAATCAAACACAACGAATATATGGAATTCATATTTCTGAACTGCGGTTATAGAAACGTATTAATTTTGTGCACGATCCTCGCAGTAAAGAGCTCTATTTAAGCAATAGTGAAAATCAGACCTGAAAAAATTCAGGCCTGTACGGGATTTGAACCACTGACCTCTGCGATACTAGTGCAGCGCTCTACCAATTGAGCGAACAAGCCAAATTCTTTTTGTCAGCATCTTTGGAAATGAATGAGAACATTATGGAGAATATGCATACTGATGTTAGGGAGTTAAATGGTTAATTTTTAATTCAGGGGTGGTATTGTAAGGAGAAATTAGATGCTAGTCACTCTTTAAGGGTCAAAGGATTCTGTTTTACCGACTCGCTCGGATTTTACGCAGTTTATATTCTCCCAAATGTTGACGCTTAGGTATGATAACGTCTTAAGATCTTTTTTACTTAAACCTATATTACTGAAGTATCTTTCTTCTCTTTGCTTTTAAAGCTGGCTTTCTTTTCGGTGAAATCAGTTGACAAACCAGGTAAGATTCAAGCTCAGACTCACCTTATTGAATCAATTGTCTATTAGCTAGCAATCTTTTTTTAAAGTTAGATAATTTGGTTTTATCAACTGAAGTTATAAAGAAAATTGGCCACTGTGAAGTGCTTTTAAGCTGACGTTTCGAGCGTTTGCCCTTTGTCAGAACAAATGACTAAATGCTAACGCTCGATACGTCAGCTTATGAACTCTTTGAGGTGGCTGATTTGCATTAAAAACCAAATTAGTTTGTTATACTTCCCCACCAGTCATGGACGGAGTGTGGTTGGTCGTCAGATTGCAGGAATTTTGACGTAACGATGATAAATTACACCAATTGATATTAGAAATAGTTAAATGTTTTTTTTTGTTTCAGCTGTGCTATTGCACGTTCTTCAAAATGTGGTCAAACCAAATGAACAGACCCTTGTATTTACGGCCACAAAGCATCATGTAGAATACTTGAAAGAGGTAACGCTTTTTAATACAGCACAAACAATCCCGCTTTCCCAGCTGCCTACGAGTCCGTTGAGCGAATCAAAAAAATAAACCAAAAAACTGCGAGCCATCGTCGCCCGTTAACGATTTTCCTTTTTGACTCGAGCGACAGACAAAAGGCAACAAATAAATACTTCCTATATTATTACCTATGAGAAAAAAACATGAACACACAATTACAATTATAAAATCTCTCCGTAAAGAAGCTGCGATGAGCGGCAAAACGGTTGATCAATACCCGGGACGTACGTTCTCCCCTCGCGTTCTAATTTCTCCTCCCTCCCCTCCCCTCCCCTCCCCTCTTAAACAATAGAGTGTTCCCCTCTATGGTATTATCAAGGTTTGTCTTGTCTCATTCAATGCCTCATCTACCAAGTCTGTTTCATTGCAAGCTTTATGTAAACTTGCTGAACTTTGTGCTAGTTACATCGCAGACAGTGTGACCCTCTTTTGTTACTCATTAAGTCCCGTAGTCCTCCTGTGAACTAATATACCTAATGTAAATTTTCCCTCTGTATCACAGCTGTTAGATATTGCTGGAATAGAGTGCTCCTTTGTGTACAGCACACTGGATCAGACAGGTAGGTGGACTTTGAAGACATAACTAGCTCTTTTGAAGGACATTGGAACAGAGTGTATTTCTATTTTTGGAACTGTTCGTCGTACACCCCTCCCCCCCAAGCCTCCCTTCCCCTCAGTAAATGCTCCTTAGATACGAGGCTGGTTATAAACCTTAAACTGAAGAAATGTTTTTACTTGGTGTAAGATGTCTAAACCGTAGCGCAGTTCTTTAAAATGACTCGTACATAGAGATAACAAGATTAATGATTGTGTTACATTTGTAGCAAGGAAGATCAACATTGGAAAGTTTCAACACAAGAAGACAAACGTGATGGTTGTTACCGATGTGGCTGTAAGTAAAGATTGAGTAAAAAAGTTCCGCATATTATCTTTGTTATCTAAAGGGCAAAAAAGTGACATCACTAAACATCCTGCCGTGTCAATTTTTTTTTTTGAGAGAGATAAGCGCGGGACGCGAGACGCGACAGCCTTTGTTCGCCTGATTAGACAAAAATGATACCTGATTTGCAGGGTAATCATGATACTGAGTCATTTCTTTGACTTTTGAAAGTTGAGTTTGATTAATTAGAGACCCTGAAGCTGCAGAAACTGCGCCGTTGCGCTTGAAACAACTCTGAAAGCTCGTGAATTTGCATGTACATTGCACTTCTCACGTGTATTTTCTATTGTTCCTGAATCTCTCAGTAATTCATTCGTATGCAGAATTGTTGCATAGTGTCATTTTAATTATTTATTTATTTTTATACCGTTATCTTTTTCAACAATAGGCTCGTGGAATTGACATCCCCATGTTAGACAACGTGATAAACTATAACTTCCCAGCCAAACCGAAGCTTTTTATCCATCGAGTAGGTAGGTGAAGAAAGATTTCTGTGACCAAGGAATTTATCCTTAAAAGTATTAATAAATTTCAGCGAGGAGACTGAGGAGCTAGAAACCTGAGTTATGCCACACTGTGTGGTGCCGCACCAGATTCTTTAGAAAATTACTGCCGCCAAAGCTGAGAATATCTTATCAGAGTGCAGGAGACAGGCACTAATATTCACATTTAAAGAGTCTTATTTCCGAACCTTGCACGTTATTAGGCCGAGTTGCCAGAGCTGGCAGAAGTGGGACAGCTTACTCCCTTGTGAGCGGTGATGAGGTAGGCAAATCGTTCCAAGTATTTGAGTTGCGGTTTGATTGATGTTTGTTGTTGCAATGTATGTGTCCAGGCGTAAGATGCAGACAAGTCCACGTGCACGCAAATCGGAGAAAGTGTGTTGTTGATGATTTTAAAGGAAACTGGTAGCTTTCTTTTAATTTTTAGGTAATAAAATTCTCTTATCGAACTTACAAGGAAATAACATTGCCTACTAGAGAGAATTATTACCTTATTAATTAGTAGTGGGGCTAAGGGGCGTTTAAAAACCCCTAATAGACAGCGAGCTGTTTCCAAGGGGTGCTTGTCCCTGTTTCACGCGACAAGTGTCAAGTTACCGGGCAAATTATTGTTCCAATACACTAAAAGTTTGGGGGACTCTTAGTATTAATTTAAAAATCAGTATTAGTAGTTAGGAATTTTCCTACGGCGACAAATATAGAATATAGTGCGAAGAAATGACCACAAAACCTTTCCTCGAACTGGCGGCAGTCTCTCGAGTCCTCTTCGCAGTCGTCGTTTGGTCTGGTCACGCAACGCATTACCTTCCCAGAAAGAGCAGGCTGCGTGACACGATCAAACAACTTCTGGAAAAGAAACGAGCTTTGCACCTGGGTACAAATCCAATCATAAACGCTGTATTGAAGAATGAGCGATTAAGATACAAACATATGACTTAAACAGCCTGCGAAAATCTTTGAATACTGAAAGCGACGCACTATCTTTACAAATACTTTCTGTACATAATTTCTTGAAAAATTAGCCTTATTTACAAACGTGTTTAAGACAGAGAGAACGATAAATGACCCTTTCCGGTTATGAAAACAAATGACAACCGCTTGGCTAATGCAATACCATTCTTAAACAACCTTACTTGGATAGCGACCTAAATTCACAAGATTACTTTAGCATATTGAACTTTTACACCCAATCATTAATATCCATATTCTTCCTACCCTACTCTATACATTTTCCTAGGTACTGACAAGGAAAATTCGTATTACTGTTGCCGAGAAATTAGATGCTGGTCATTATTAGAGCTTAACGATTTGTGTCCTTACTTCGGCCGCTTTTAAACTGTCCAGTATCTACCCCTTCTGTTGATCACAAAGTAGCTTACTGCCTCTTAGTGATTTAAGCATGGCCTTCGGTAACCACGTGACGCATGCGTGATTGTAGGACAACGTGGACGGCATCTTTCCGATTTCCGTCCATGCCTCATTTTCTCTGTCAAAGTACTCCACGATACCGTTACTGTAAGTTCCTCCGAACACGAAGATCTTTCTCTTTGCTTTTCCGAGAGCGGCGTGTGAGCGTGGAACACACAACTCTGCAGAGAGAAGACTCCACATGTTCGTTATAGGATCATACAACTCACAATTTTGTAGCGGTAGAAAGTGGTCCCCAGTACCTCCTACCACAAATATTTTGTTGCTCGTTACAGTCGCACTTGCAAAGGCGCGTCTCTCGTCCATCGGGGAAACATACTCCCATTGGTCTCTTTGAGGGTCATACCGCTCCACGATATTAAGCCCTAGCTGCCTAAGTCCATCGTGGCCCCCAATCGCGTAAACAAGGCCGTTCAGGGAAACCGCACACAAGCCCCGTCGCGAGGAGTCCATTGGGGCCATATCTTCCCACGAATGGTCTACTGGCTTAAAACGAGTCAGGCCATTTTCCTTGAGAAGAAATATGCTGTCGTCCACACTCACAGCTGCCGTTGGAAGGTTTGTCAAAGTCGATAGCACTTCAGACCACGTGTTTATCTGTGGATCGAAATTTTCGATCGTCAGGCGATCATCCTGCCAGCCAATGGCGAACAGAAGGCCTTCGCAAATTGTTATTGCTCTAGGTTCGTTGAAGCTTGGCAGTCGGGCCAAGTCATACCACATTCCTGTGGCTGGAGTAAAACAAGAACAACAGCCGTTTTTGCTGAGAAGTACAATGCTCTCAGTGACACCGCGAGGCTCGTCACGCGCTTCATCCGGGATACGAAGCGCTGCTGTGACCAAACTTTGACTGTCGTGACTTTGCGTGACAAGTTCGTCACACTCGATGAACTCGGAGATGAATTGAATTGACATGGCCGACAAGCGAACATGTCGGAAAAGATCTTCAAAGAAATTCTCTCTGTTTTCTGAATCGTGTTTTACCCATGCCCTTATTCCTTCGAACACTTCTTCTTCGCCTCTCTGCGTTTTGATTACGAGTCTTTCCCCACAAATAAGCTCTTCCACGTCGATAAAATCGAAACATAAGAACTCATTTGTTTTCCAAATGGACGAAAGGTTATTGCAAATGTATTCAGTGGCAGCTTCGTATAACAATTCATGGTTGTATCTTTTGGCAAAAACCTGAATCCATAAACAGTTTGATGGCTTGAGGCTTATCATCAAGAACTCCGCACAAGTTTCTTTTAGGCTGGGAATATCGAAATAGTCGGCCATGGCCAAAAGTTGTTCGGCATTTTTCTCCGAAACTCCGCACTCCCCTGTGTAAATAAAATTCAAAAGTTCCTCCATGCCGTCGAGATAAAACACCCGCAGGTTCACTTCTACTTCACTGGTGGATTTTTCCTTGGTCAACTCGAACGTAAACGAAGCTTTAAAGAAAGAACTATTCGCAGCCAGAACCACCTTGTGGGCCGGCAGTGTGCCATTTTCGACGACGAGAAATACATCGCAAAATGTTCGTGATTTCCGAAACGAATTCATAGTTCGAAGCATGTCTTGCTGCTGTTGATGTTTCCTTCTGTTCATACCTGTTCGTGGCTCCATGGTGACGACAGTGCCTTCCATATTCTCTAAAATTTTAGGAAGTCAGCGAATGATATACGGTACACAGCGACGTATACGTAATTGTTTCTGAGTGCGTAAATCGGTCAATAGAGCCAGCGGTATTCAATATTCACTGATCCTAATTATTCACCTGATTACAAATCTTTTCTCCTCTTTTTCCCTTTTTTTTCTTTGAGGTTTACCTTTCCATTTTGCTTGTGAAATTTATTCGTCTTTGATGTGAAACGCACTACACGAAGTACGAAATTCTCTTGGTGGCTGGTATTATCCAGCTTGGTAACGAAATAAAGCGAGCCAGGGACTAGAGTGTATTTTACGGTTAGATATCCCTGTGAACATTTGGTAGAGCGCTGCACTAGTATCGCAGAGGTCAGTGGTTCGAATCCCATACAGGCCTGAATTTTTTCAGGTCTGATTTTCTCTATTGCTTAAATAGTGCTTTACTGCGAGGATCGTGCAGATATACATTTCATAACCGCAGTTCACATATATGTATTTCATACATTCGTTGTCTTTGATTTATCATCTTATGGCTTTATGTCGTATTATATTGATGGCCTGTTCTCAGTTGGCTTGTTAGCTCAATTAGTAGAGCGCTGCACCAGTATCGCAGAGGTCAGTGGTTCGAATCCCGTGCAGGCCTGAGTTTTTTCAGGTCTGATTTTCACTATTGCTTAAATAGTGCTTTACTTCGAGGATCGTGCACATATACATATGACTGATATTATTAAAACGCTGCTCCTCCTCAACCCAGTCACCTTGCGGTGTCCAGGCGGGAATTGGGTTGTGGAGACGACTTATAAATGTATCATTCTTTTAACATGGTAATAAACTTAACCTGCTCCCGGCGTGCAGTTAGTAAAACGATGGGCGATGATAAACGGTGTGATGGAAGTGGAGTAAAAAAAACAAGGGAGGTCTGGGACGGGTCGCGTTAGAAACCTCTTAATCTTTAATTTCGTCCCACAGCTAGCCCATATGGTGGATCTTCATCTTTTCCTTGGTCGCCCGCTAAAGTTTGCTGGAAAGGACTCGCAAGCTCAAGATGATGGGCTTATAGGCACGGTTCCTCAGCTGCTCGTAGATGACGAGGAGAATTTTATGAAAACGGCGCATGACCAATCACATGACTTGGTTAGTATCCCGTATGTCATCTAATCCAGCGTGATTGATAGGCGAAAATTGATATTTGTTAGTTCGTTAATATCGATGATGGATGAGGACTTTGATATAGCTTATGTGCGCGATTTTTCTTGGCTATAATGCGCTGACTATTTACGCAATGTTTTCGCGTAAAGAAATTGCGCTGATTATAGGACTGCTTATTGATTACCAGACTCCCAATCAATTCCTCTGCGGAAGCGACGAGCTCACTAAAATTTGCCTCGCTCTCTACACGTGTCTCTGTGGCTCGGTTGGCAGAAGCTCTCAGCTAGTATGAGGGGGGTATGGGTTTGAATGCCATCGAAGTCTGAAACTGTTTCTCTCGCTTCTTTACTGGATTCGATTTAATCGCCGCTCACCCTGCAGTATCCAGAGCTGTTTTAACCTTGGAAGCGAATTGTTTTAATCTTTGTTTTGGTCAGGTTTCTCTTCGACAAGTGGCTGCTAATGGATACAAACAGTACATCAAATCCAGGCCAAATACTTCATCAGAATCTGTGAAGAGGGCAAAAAAGATCGACACTGGCTCTCTTTCGATTCATCCCATATTCAGTGAGTCTTTTTTTTTTTTTCATTTAGTTATGGATAAAGCGGCAATAGAAACAAGGTATCTTTCTATTCCTGCTTTTTAAGATATTAAGGGCCGAGGGGGGCATATTTTCGAGGTTGGCGATTGTTTGATTTTTATGGCCTGGAGGGGGACCCCAGGGGCTCTTCTGCCCTTAACTTGAAATCGACTCACTGCCCCTGGGTCTCCGAGGATGGGTATTATCCAGCTTGGTAACGAAATAAAGCGAGCCAGGGACTAGAGTGTATTTTACGGTTAGATATCCCTGTGAACATTTGGTAGAGCGCTGCACTAGTATCGCAGAGGTCAGTGGTTCGAATCCCATACAGGCCTGAATTTTTTCAGGTCTGATTTTCTCTATTGCTTAAATAGTGCTTTACTGCGAGGATCGTGCAGATATACATTTCATAACCGCAGTTCACATATATGTATTTCATACATTCGTTGTCTTTGATTTATCATCTTATGGCTTTATGTCGTATTATATTGATGGCCTGTTCTCAGTTGGCTTGTTAGCTCAATTAGTAGAGCGCTGCACCAGTATCGCAGAGGTCAGTGGTTCGAATCCCGTGCAGGCCTGAGTTTTTTCAGGTCTGATTTTCACTATTGCTTAAATAGTGCTTTACTGCGAGGATCGTGCACATATACATATGACTGATATTATTAAAACGCTGCTCCTCCTCAACCCAGTCACCTTGCGGTGTCCAGGCGGGAATTGGGTTGTGGAGACGACTTATAAATGTATCATTCTTTTAACATGGTAATAAACTTAACCTGCTCCCGGCGTGCAGTTAGTAAAACGATGGGCGATGATAAACGGTGTGATGGAAGTGGAGTAAAAAAAACAAGGGAGGTCTGGGACGGGTCGCGTTAGAAACCTCTTAATCTTTAATTTCGTCCCACAGCTAGCCCATATGGTGGATCTTCATCTTTTCCTTGGTCGCCCGCTAAAGTTTGCTGGAAAGGACTCGCAAGCTCAAGATGATGGGCTTATAGGCACGGTTCCTCAGCTGCTCGTAGATGACGAGGAGAATTTTATGAAAACGGCGCATGACCAATCACATGACTTGGTTAGTATCCCGTATGTCATCTAATCCAGCGTGATTGATAGGCGAAAATTGATATTTGTTAGTTCGTTAATATCGATGATGGATGAGGACTTTGATATAGCTTATGTGCGCGATTTTTCTTGGCTATAATGCGCTGACTATTTACGCAATGTTTTCGCGTAAAGAAATTGCGCTGATTATAGGACTGCTTATTGATTACCAGACTCCCAATCAATTCCTCTGCGGAAGCGACGAGCTCACTAAAATTTGCCTCGCTCTCTACACGTGTCTCTGTGGCTCGGTTGGCAGAAGCTCTCAGCTAGTATGAGGGGGGTATGGGTTTGAATGCCATCGAAGTCTGAAACTGTTTCTCTCGCTTCTTTACTGGATTCGATTTAATCGCCGCTCACCCTGCAGTATCCAGAGCTGTTTTAACCTTGGAAGCGAATTGTTTTAATCTTTGTTTTGGTCAGGTTTCTCTTCGACAAGTGGCTGCTAATGGATACAAACAGTACATCAAATCCAGGCCAAATACTTCATCAGAATCTGTGAAGAGGGCAAAAAAGATCGACACTGGCTCTCTTTCGATTCATCCCATATTCAGTGAGTCTTTTTTTTTTTTTCATTTAGTTATGGATAAAGCGGCAATAGAAACAAGGTATCTTTCTATTCCTGCTTTTTAAGATATTAAGGGCCGAGGGGGGCATATTTTCGAGGTTGGCGATTGTTTGATTTTTATGGCCTGGAGGGGGTGGGGGCTTATCTGGGGGAGGGGGGAGAGTGCTTATTAGAGTGTGGGCGCTCATTCGATGACTTACAGTAATTAAATATTTGTGGAAGAAAATAGCGACTACATCAACTGATGTTTGTTTGCAACCTCCGTTTTGTAGAGTTATCCTCCAGTGAAGGGGCATCTACAAAGGTCGACATTTTGGATGGTGTGAAGAACTTCAGACCTAAACAGGTGAAAAGACTTTTTATGTCTGTCTGTCAGATTATTGTTTATTTGACAGCGCAAAGTGTTAGATTCAAGTCACTCTTGGGGACCAAAGTTTTAAGGCTTCCGCTGTCTGGCAAATGCAGATGTTTAGTCTAGCTAAGAAACAAAATGATTGAAAGCTTTCATTCTTGGGATTAATGGAACAATTTTCGGCTCATCCTCGGTGTAATAACCTGTGAAGCTCACGAGTGACGTCAAACAAAGACAACAAAAAAGATGTATAAAAACAAAATAGCTGTATGCCATTGTAAACAATAGCATACAGCAGAACAGTACCTCACGAAACAAAGAACACCTCGGCAGGTTACTACACCGAGGATGACCCCAATTTTCGGTATTGTGTGTTATTCTGTCTCATCTACAGACTATTTTCGAGATTGGTTCAACATCAAAATCCACGGCGCAGTCCATCATGATGTCAAAACGGTGAGTGATTCTGGAAGCGAGTAATCCTTTTTTCACCAAGTTCAGTTTCGTAATTCTCCTTTCTAGCTGCTACACATTTGCCTTTGAAATTTGGGAATTTGGTCGTAAGGTGCCGTATGGCGAAACCCAAAGACGAGAGCCTGCGGTAAGAGGGCTTGTTGGCAGCGGTACACACCGCCAGTAACCGAGGTCTATGGAATAACACTGTTGTTGATATAATACGCGAAAATGTCAGTTTAAAGGTAGAGTGATAATCCACCTGAGATTCACACCACTCATGCATTTTAAAATCCTTTTTTTTGTACCTTTGGTTTGACTGCTTACAGAAAACGTCACAGTGACGTAATTGAGAGAGCTCAGCGGCTGAAACTAGATGAATTGAACACTGGCCAGGGGAGGGGTACTGGTACCGAACGAGAGCAAGAGAGTGGTCTGACTACGGATGATATCCAAGTGAGTGAAAACGGGTAGATCCTTTGGCTAAGAAGGGGTCGAAAGCAGATATTGATCAGAAGGAAAAGAAAGGAACCCAATGTAATTTTCTTGCCTGTACCACACTAACATTAGCAGAGAAACGAAGGTGTGATAGTGTTCCAGTAATATGCATGAAAAAATTATGCGCTTCTGGTTGGCTGAAAATGTGCATTTTTTATGTAACACGAGTGCAAAGTTGTAACACAAGTGCAAATTGAACGAAATTTCGTCTGTCTCGACTTTCTGAGATGCTTTTTTTTGAGTGTAAATTAGTAACATGTAACAACATGATTTCTCATGCAATTTGGTGTAAAGAAGCCCTTGCACATTTTTCAAAAACTACAAATTGCACTCGCCCTTCGGGTTCGTGCAATTTTGATGTCTTTGAGAAATTTGCTCGTGCGCTTAACACCAAATTCCACCGGAAATCATGTTGTTACCTGTACATATTTACCGATGTGTAATAGTCTGTAACATTGTCTCTGAATTTCGGCTGAAATATTACCCGGCCAAAAAGAAGCTTTGTGACTTAACCAAACGAAGGATGCTAATTAAGGTTTAGTGTAGTTTGTTAGACAAGAGTCTTCGAACAACCTCGATTCTTTTACATGCAGAGATTTGTAAAACCTGAGTTTTATGGAAATTGGTTGTCTCTGACTCTTGTTATTTCTGAACCAGACGTTTCGGCTAATGCTTAAGCCTTCATCAGTGATACGAAAAACGAAGATCGTTATCATACCTATTTGAAGTTAAAAACGTGACGCGAAGCTTGCGCGCGTAACTATGTATTTGATGATGATGATGATGATGAGGAGGAGGAGGAGGAGGATTTATTTAACTCAGCTCGGTTTTACAAGATATGTAGGTTAAATTTACATAGCAACTAAACACAGTACAGTAAAGGAATAAGGAGAAAAAATTTAGCAATAGAGCAGGTAGCTAGTTAGGATCATCTAAATAGCAAAGGCTAATCTAGTGGATGACCCCTAATTATTAATTAATTATTAAGGGCAAAATTAAGAATAATTTTTTCTTTTTTTTTTTAATAAAAAGTATTACTTCATGCACTAAAGTAGATAATTAAAAAGAGTAAAAATTAAGTATAGAGTTCTTCAGGGTTTTGATGCTCCCGCGAGGCCTTTATAGGCTTCTGGAAGTACGATGTGATTGTTCCCAGCATTCGGATCCAAAGTAGAGTGCCAGGCTTCAAGGAAAAGTCTCTCGTGGTAATTAGATTCGAAACCAATGACCCTGACGTTTGTTAAGTCCATGTTATGGTCGAAAGGTGGACATGGCTTGCGACTTTGGAGTTTAAGTCAAAAACTGCAACTGCCTTTTTGTGCTCCGCAATTCTGGTCTTTAATGACCTTACTGTTTGGCCATAGTACTTAAAATTACACTGTGTGCAATTGAAAATAAGTCGTATATTTAAGAATAAACACTAGCGAGAAAAACACACAACGTTTCGATGACTCCATGTCATCATTCTCAAGTGAGAAGAGAATAAAAATGAATAGTTAATTTATACCGTACGAAGGTGGCAAACGTAAAAAGTTTAAAATATTTAAAATATTTAAATAAATAATTGCGCGTGTTGAGTTCATAAATGTAAACTATTAAATAAATAGTTTCGCGCGTATGGAATCCGATTGTTTGTTCAAAGAGGGCTTCATCTTCTTTATGAAAAGCATTTCATGAACTAAACAGTCCAGTTTCCCGGTGCACTTTTTAAGTACGTTGAAATGCTTGGTCAGGTCGCCGATGGTTTGTAGGCCGTGGTCGTTCTTTAGATGTTTGCCGATGGCCGAATTACGGTGCTCATTAATACGTTGATGTAAATGCCGGCTGGTGTACCCGACGTACTCTGCATCACACAGATCACATTTATAATTATATACAACGCATTGTTGGCTAACTATAGGAGGTTTAGGCTCACGTACTCTGAGATCTTCACAGATTTTGCGACTCTTGAACACGGGATGAAGGGTGTGATCGATTTTGTTGCTTAGATCTGATAATTGCCTTTTCACTGCGTCAGCTGACTTTTGATCTTTAAAAGGCAAAACCACTCGGTGAACAGCATTTTCGTTGACGGATAATTGAGCTTGCACTNTTCAGGCAAGCAGAGTGTTAAATGCGAGTCAAGCTCCACGCTTTTGTCACGCGAGAGTCACGCTGCACGCGTCTCTGCTCTCGTTTCTTGCTTACCTGCGCTCTTACAAATGTCACCTGTTCTTCAGGCCAAAGAACACAACACTTTTCTTTGACCAACCTCGTTCCCAGAGTCTTTTTTTCACGGCAAATGGGGACCTTGGGAACGAGGTTGGCCTATGACCTGGGCCTGATCGTGGACCTTGCGATCTGTGGTCTGTAACATTAAGCATTAGACGATACCGTTCTTTCTTATTATAGGGAAAAGTTGGATCATTAAACGTGTTTTCTTTCCAGACTTGGTTTGAAGTCGTTTGAAAAGGACGTATCTGGCGCCGTGATGGATATACAGGCGGATGAGGCTGAAGGAATGCGGCAGGCGAAGACGATCAAAAAATGGTAAATATTGAGGATTCAGTTCTCTGTCTTTTCGTCGACACCTTTGATCTACTCGCCGGCCTTTACCTTTGGTTGCTTCGCCGACACGGCGAGCGGACCGAAGTTGTCGGCGATATGAATAGTGATGTGTGCGAGTCGATCAAAGGTTTTGGCGATTTAGTTGTCAGCGAATTGACATGACGGCAAGTTGACATGTTGGCGAAATGACCGATAATCTTAGCGACAGAAACGTTTTCGTCTGGATTCTAATACCTCTTACTGAGCAGAGGAGAACAAGAATAGTGCCTTGTACAAAAATATTTCCTCTAAGGGGCAGAAATGTTGAAAACTGGGAATGTATCCCTCCATATTCCGCCTTCTCCATTTCTAGACGCTTCATCGTTTTCTATTTTGAATTTACAACCCTTTTACACCCAACCATTAAACAATTTCTCTTGATGATTTCATCAGACTGTCAGGCAAGCAGGTAGGCGATGGGAATGAATCAAATGTTCAACTAGGAGGTATTTTTGATGAACACCAAATCTATGAGTGCAACATGACCCGCCGCGTAGAGAGAAAATATTGAGATTTTTGGCGTGAAATGGGGATTGGGGAAGTGAATTCGTTCTGAAGCCATGCTTTCAGTTTGTAGTTTCATTTGTCGTTTTCTCTACAGGGATCGGAAAAGGAAAAATTTCGTTGGCGAAGACGGAAACGTTAAGAAAATCCGAACTGAGAGCGGCATTAGGATTCCAGCTTCCTACAGGAAAAACATGTATCCTTCAGACATAAACAGAACTAATCTGATGACCAGCGAGTCAAGTTTAACCACAGATAGATAAATAGATAATAGATAGATAATAATCTTTAGACAGGGTGCGTTCTCACAGAAGTGGTTTTCAGAACGGCCCTGTAACTACCCACCCAACCCACCCCAGGGAGGACATCCATCACACAGTAATCTTAACTCTAAGAGTGATCAACATCTAATTTCTCCTCGCGGTAACTGCTGAATCATTCATTAAGATCATGAGAAGAAAAGAAATGATCATTAACCTAAGAAAGTTTGGATTGATAAACAAATTCTCCTTGTCAGTGCTGCTGAGACTGCAATTATGCGAGATCTGTGGTGTGTGGCTTGGAAATTAAAAACTCCACGTCTTTCATATAAGTATAATCCACTTTAATCCGGATTAGCTGACGTTGGTTAAAACTAAAGAAAGTAACAAACGGTTACAATAGTTACACAATGTAAAACCCAAAGAAATAACGAACAACAAGACGGAAAAGGGGACTATAAAATACTTACATTTTTACGGCCTTAGAAACACTACTAAACTGCGCTTAGCGAAAACGAGAAAACAGATTACATGATAAATTATGCGGTCAGCACAGAGCGACATGAGGCAACAACGAAATGACAAAGAAAAGCGCTAATGAAACAATTACAGAGTGAAAAAGACTTAATAAATAAGTGAACTCCAAACACGCAAAAAGAAAAAACAAACAAACAAGAAAAAATGTCGCACTTAGAACTTACAAAAACCAAAGGAAATGAATGGAGAAACAATATGGAAAATATGGACACAGATGTTTGGATGTAAAAAGTTTAAGTTTTCAATTTGCTCGTCTGCTATTCACGTTAATCGTAACCACTCTTGCTCTTTGTGGTTTTAACTTTTTTTCTTTTGTGTTGGGCTCTCCTACTAAATTATGGTTTCTAAGATCCTCTCCAAATGAAGGAAAGTTTTTTTTTATATCCCAAGTGGCAGTGATATCGCAATCTGATTGGCCAATTCGCCACTGTCGATAAGAGTACCGACTACGCTGCTGGTGTCAACGTGTCACGCGGCAGCGTGTCACGCACTGAATGAATCGTTTTATTGTGGTAAAAAAATAATCGAAAGTGGTTTAGCGTCGTCTGTACCCTTATCGACAGTATTTGTCATCAGGCTGGAATTTCTGGGGGATTTTGCTCCCGACTACCGCGTCAAAAACCGCCCTTCTCTTTTGTTATTCTGTTCCGAATGCGTTACAGTGACATCATTTTTTTACGAAATAAAGATTTTCCGTTCACAGCCTTAACGATCATAACCCAGCTACCGCGACTGGTTACAAAGACACAAGATGGACGTTCCCGGATCCGAAGATCGCGAGGAGAATGGGGCGAGGCCGGAATATAAAAGAGGGAAGAAAGGTAAAGTCGACTTTGTTGATAAATTATTCTCCCCTCTCTTCACTATACATTCCTTGCAAACAAGTTATGAGAATTTAGCGTTACATCAAGATAACACCCTCTGACTGATAACTTTATTTAATATACACTAAGACAGTGGATAGTGTTAAAGGCGCGCTCTGATTGGCTACTCGAACTCCAAATATCCTTTGTTTTTCACCTCCGAGCAACTTGCACGGGATTTGCGCCTGAAAATATTGCTATCGTTGCAGGAATAAATGAGTTGAAATCATGTTTTTGTGTTGCATTATCTCTTTGTTTTATGACATACTTTAGCAACGATTCCCCACAGTGTCGGTGGCTAGCGGTGGATATTTAGCTCGCCAAGTTGCGGCTCGGTAAACCATCCATCACTAGCCTTTTCCACCTCGGTGAATAGTTGTTACCTGTTTTTTATATCTGTTTGGTGAGTAATGGATTGAAATTAAAGAGAGGTTGCATGTTTATCTATCTGGTAGTTGAAAGTCTGACAAGGTAGGTGAAAGGACGAGATTTTGGAGTGCTTTATTAAGAGTTCGTTTCACTCTTTTTAATTCATTTTTCAATGATGAGGCTGTATGCAGAAATCTGAAGCGTGTCAAGTGCAAACAGGGACAGACCTGCTTCAGACAGACCTTTCCTCGTCGACCGGATATGTTAAGAAGGTTCTAGTCTAGAGGGAGATAGTATTGAATGTATAACAGTGTTTCCTTCTTTCTTTAGGTAAAGGTGGAAGCAAATTCTCAGCCAGAGGAAAAGGAGCGGTCGGGAAAACCTTTAAACCGCGTGGGAACGAACTAAAATCCAAGGAACAAATACTGAAAGCTCGACACAGGAAGCAAAAAACTATGCAGCGGCAAAATAGAGGAACACAAAAAGGAAAAGGTGGGAAAGGAAAATCGGGCAGGAAAAAGTGAGGGCGGCAGGATTAGCGACGTTTCCGGCGCCTTTTCGTGGAATCTTCGGACGCCGTCCGAGGAGTTACCGCTCAATATTTTTCAATCAAAATCAGCCACGTTTTCGGGACACTGTAACTCGGGCCATATTTGACGCTCTGCTCATTTCAGGTTCAATTTGGCTTCATGTAGAAAACCGTGGGCTCCAGTACTAGGCTTTTGTTTGAGTTAAAAATGAATCGGCTTGAATGTCGTCAGAGAAAAGGTTGAACAGTCGTCTGTACGAGAATACAGCTTTGTCGAAGAGACTTACTGTGTAAAATCTTGAAAGCGGAAGTCTATCTTTCTACTTTAAACCGAATATCCTATTTTAGTGTTGTCCTACACTTGTGACAAGAAAAAAAAAACCACCTTTCTCAATATCTCACATGTTTATCTTTAGAGATATTACAGATATTACAACTTTTTCGTTTTTTTTTTTTTTTTTTTTTTTTTTTTTTTTTGTCCTTCTTTGTTTTGAGTTGTGCGCGATACGTGACGCATCTTAAACGACTCCACTGTAGAAAGTGTCATCAATTTTAAGGTCATTTCTGGTCACTTAGCATAGTGATTTTACTTCAACCCCTGAAGGGAAAGGAACAACAGCGGAGCCGACAAAGAAAAACCCAAATTGCATAGATTGGTCTTCCCTTTTCTGGTAAGCGACAACACTGACTTTTCGATATTGTCATGAGAGTGATTCAAAAACGTTTCGATCTGCTTCAAGTACCGAACTGTGAGGAATATAGAAATCTTCCTATAAGGATCTTGTACTTCGGCTCTCTTTGTTTTCCTTGCAAAATAATTTGCCCTGTTCTTTTCGCGCTTAATTATAATCGGCATTTTTAATTTCAATATTGGATTTGTTATTTATTAATACCTTATTGCCCCTATCAACCTCTTTTCCTGAAAAAAAAAAATCGGTTTTCTTTGATTAATGTTTTCAAGGAGAAAGCGAAGACATGCAATCCTAGCTCTCCACTTCTCCCAACGGCCTCAGTCAGAACATAACTAAAAATTAATTCGCTGAAGTAGCTTTACAGCATTGTAATAGTATCTTCTGGTAAGATGAAGCCCTTGAAATAAAAGTTGATCGGTGAGTAAAATTTTGTGGAAGTCTAATACTGAAACGGAACAAAGGTGGATTCTGGATGCATTAAAGTTGTACCTCCGAAAAGCAGGTATCTTTTCAAGTTAGCCAAAGAAATGTGATTTTTCTTTTCTATTTTAATATTTTAGCACTGGGAAATTTCCTAACGAAGAGCAGTTTGGAGATAACATTCAGCTTTATAGTTTTTCTCTCTTTTTATCTGTTATCCCTAAATCTTGAAATGTTGGTCATTGTTGCATGTTTTTGTCGCAAGCGGATATCTCGTGTGACGTGCGTTTCAATTTTCGCTATTAGCATACTTAAAACTCTCCCAGTAAACAAATAATACCACACGATGAAGAAAAAGCGTGGGGTTAAATCATTAGCAAGTATGATCTTATTGAAAGAGATACAGATGAATAAAAGAGAAAGTTCTTCTAAAAAAAAAAAACTGCACTCTCGTAAAAGACTGTGTCGCTTTCTGGAAACGTCGTCAGATTTCTCGTAACTAACAATTAAAGTTGTGGTTTGCCTTCAATCGAAATTTAATTTCCTACCCCTGGGCAGTCTTAACACAAACGTATTCCAACTTTTGATGGAAAAGAAATAAGTTGAATGCTTTGACCTTTTCTGGGTTTTTGTATGGAAGAATAATTTTAATGACTTCTCGCCATTGGCTTAAGCGTCTATGTGGCAACTTAATTCGGACCAAATTTTGTTGCTGAGCCATGCAGACTGGAAACAGAAATAGACAATTAAATCCCAGCTGTTGTTATACACAGAACCTTTTGTGTTAAAAAATAATATTCTCTTGCATCAATGTACAAATTTCCGATAGCAATAACAGCGCCTATTTGATACAGAAGAGTTTTGCACTGTCACAGATACTGGCCAAAAGAAAATTAAACAAACAACTAAATCAAGGATTTTGCGCCCTCCTTCAAGTACTCGACACTGTTGGCCTGTTTTACATAATGTCTGACTAGAAGTCGCTTTATAAATGAATTTTGGTTAATTTTTTTTCCTTCCTGGGTTTAGAAGCCAATAAACAGACTCATCTGCATGTCTCGTAAAACATTTTTTTTCTCCTTCGGTTAAAAAAAAAAAGGTTAGACGTGGTTAATTATACGGTGTTTTTCTGTGTTCGGTATGTAAGGTGCCTCGGGGCTGGTTTTTTGTTCCTTAATTTAAGAGTGAAATGTATTGTCAAGCTGTAAAGTTTCCGGTGAATCTTTTCTTGTTTAGAATATCTACCGGTTCGAAGAAAAAAGCACACCCTTAAGAGAATTTGTGTGATGACATGCTTGCTTATAAATCAGCCTAAAAGAAAAGCATTTAATGGTAAGTTCGAAAGTTGAAATTTTTTTCTTATTTCACTTTTCAAAATAATTTTTTAAAAAATGTGCACAGGACACTAGAAATTTCCATTTTCATATTGTCATGATCAATGAAATTACGAAGGATCAAATTTTTGTTCACGATTTCAGATGTTATTATTGTTTTTAAAGGGGGGAAAAAAAAGAATCGAATAAAAGCCAAGGGTTCGCTAAAACAATTATTGTCGCCTTCTTGTGAATTTTCGTAAAACAAAGAAGCAAACTAACTGATGTCAAGAGCATGTGTTCCTAGTTTTGTAAAGGTCTTAATCCATAAAAGTTACCCTTTTCAGCTCATGGAGAATTTGTAATGTATATTGTAAACCCGTCCACGTCCATAACTTTCGTTCGCGGTTATTGAAAAAACAAAAAAAAAAACACAAAGGGGCAGTATTGGTACTTCCTGGGGGAAAAAAAATTCTCTCAGTTTGGGCCACGTTTCCTATCACAGTTGTTCACGAAATATTAACACGCTGACGCTCTCTCTCCACTTGGTGGAGACTGGTACCGATTTACTGCAATAGAAATAACACTTCAGTCGTGAAAGTGGAATGAAGTTTTACAAAGGCTTCTCTTTTAGATAATTGCCTTTCAAGCACTTTTGTCCTTCTTAAGGAAGAACAACTTTATTCTGAAGCATGACATGTACCAGCTCTGGAATGACATCGAGTAATAAGAGGTGACTTCAATGCGAGTGAACCGGTAGGAAATCTTACCATTTACTTGGAGCGCGCTTATCATTGTCATAGACCAAGGGCATCGGAATACTGGTTAGAATCTGCCGATCGCCTTCTATGGTTATCTGGAAATCAGACATTATGGACGATGGAGATATTGTAAAAGAAGGGCATCTTCGAAGACTCAAGGTAAAGATCTCTTTGATAAAAGTTCGCACTTAGTCTATGCAATTGATTCTTCGATCGGCAGTTCCTTTTCGTTGTAAATTACAAATATTGGCTCAAGTTTGCGTCGTTCGTAAGCTGTAAACGCTAAATGTTTAACCGTTATTTAGTATTTTTGTTGTTTCTTTGCGGCAACTTGCGATCAGTGGTGAAGCTCAACCAGGGGTCTGTCATGTTAGTTTGACTTGAATGCTTTTAATTGTTTGTCCAGTCTAATTTGCACTCTTGCCCAATAAACTCAAGCATGTTTAGGCGTAGAAGCTTTTATTCTGAACGAATTTTGAGTTCTCGAGAACGATTTTCCGCTGATAATGGTGAAGCTGTTTTGATACATCGTTATCTACATCTGTAAGGAAAACCTTGATTGTTTAAAGCCCTGCATAAATTGAGGTATTAATATACGAGTTTCGTTCTGGGGTAATTACACTGCATGTAGGTCCTCTTTAAGTAGATTTGTGAGCCAAAAAGCTTGTCTTTTGTCTTTTGTGTGTGGGTTTAAATCGTTTACAATTTTGCGTCAGGCTTTCAATGTTTCATTTTTGAAAATCTTTTTGCTATTTATTTATTACGATCGGGACCTAGAACTTGATAAACTTACTCATTGTTTTTATTGCAAATTCAAGTGCTCATGTGAACAAAATTGAAAGACAATGTCATTTTGCTTTGTACTGAAATTAAACGCGCAGATGCGAATGCAAATCTGTGCTTTGTTGATTGGTGTTGCTGATTATTTTTGCATGTTATAATTTTTTTCTTTCTCGAGTTTGTAAAAAAAATTTTTTTTGAGGTCGTAATTTTACAGCTCAGGAAATGTACACAGCAACAACAGCGCTCAGAAATCCGTGACAAGTATTTGTGACAAAGTACCTAGATCGTGTGTTATTATTCAACAGACGCTGAAAAAGCGATTTTTCGTTCTTCGTTCGTCGCCAAGGAAAGGCAAATCTCGACTGGAATACTACGAGAGCGAGAAAAAATTCCGCTCAAAAGGCCCACCAAAGCGAGTGATCTACCTTGCAAGCTGCCTAAACATCGCAAAGAAAGAGGACTCGAAGCACAAATTGGTGTTTGCTTTGTACACGCGAGATTATTTTTTTGGTTTGATTGCGGAATCAGAGGACGAATTGAACGCTTGGATGAAAATTTTGAACGTCGAGAAGAGGAAAGATGAAATCCTTAATGCATCTGGTGAGCGATTCACTTTACTAACAACCTAGCATACAATCATGCGTGTAATTAGAAATCGCAATTATTATGAAATTGCATGCATCCTTGCATGTTTGTAACCCGTTGTGACCCATACCAGGTGATGGGTTGAAATATTTTTTCACTTGGGGAGGGGTTAGGATTTTTGTGTCAATTTTTCTAAAAATGTAAAGTTATTATTTTGGAAAGCTTTTCACTGAAATTATTATAAAGTAAAAAATTTATCGTGAAATAATGTACTTTCATTTCACCTCCTCCTCCCTTGAAAAATATATATTAGTAAATTCTAATTAAACAGTTTCCTGTAGTTTAGACTTCAGCTGCATTTTGAGCAAAATCTTTTCATGAAATGAGGCATTTTTCCAGCAATCTGGTAGGTTATCTGAAAGCCAACATCTTTTCTATTCAGATGTTTTATTGTTTGTTATATTTTCAAGAAAAAAAAAAAAAACTCACAAAATGTCCATTTTACTGCCTCAAAAGAAGCAAGGACTGCTCCATGCTGACTTGTAAGATTAAAATTAACAAAAAGCTCCTTTTTGTTTTTGTTTTCATGACAACTCTTAACATAATTATGTTTCTTTACTTTAAAATGGCACAAATCAGTAAAATGTAAGCAAAGTGATATTTATGTAGTAAACCATCTGTCAAGGTAACAACAAAAAAAAAAAGAACTGGATTTTTCAAAAATCTTATTTTGGTCTAACAAGCTTGGTACAACAGCTTTGTAAAAAAAAACCCTGAATGATTGATTTGGTATTACCTTCTACAGCAAACCATAGAGACTGAACCAGTTTCTATAAATTTTTTCATTAGACGTTGTAAGGCAAAACATGGTATGATGTTTGATTGATGCATTCAATGCATTGATCCACATGTATTCAAAGTTTCAACATCCTTTATGGTCAACCCCCAGGGCTTTTGAACTTTTGAGGATTGGTTTGTTCAAATTCCTGCCCCTCGAGCCCAAAATTGTGTTCAAATTCCCTGCCCATTTACGCCAGATTTCATGATCAAAGTTTTTTCAGCAGATTTTTCCAGAGGGAAAGGGATATTGAAGTTTGAAATTGATCCAGGCATAATCTCTCTACTCTCATGGTGAATTTTCCAGGTCACTTGTTAATTCAGCTAAATCTTAACCCAAAGTAAATTGAAAAAAATCGTAACCCAAAGTATATTGAGATGTTTTGAAATATTTTCAGAAGTTGGTAGATCTGGTAACCCCGTAACTCTCAAGATCCAATTGTGAATTCTCCCCTCTAGCTACTACACATTTCCTTGTAAATTAGTTAGGAGAATTTGATGTCAAATCAAGGTGACGACTTCTACCTGATAAGTTTGAATATTCTTATTACCTATTTTGCTGAATAATTTATGAATGTCATCTGGAGAATTTCTCGGTTAATCACTTCTGTGAGTGAAAGGGTTAATTAAGTTATTGTTAACATGTTTTAGCCTTGTGAAGAATTTGAGCTCGGTAAAGAAATATGGAAAGATGTTTTTCATCTACTCATGAACGTGGGACAATCACAAAGAAAAAATACGAATCGTCAGGAGGAAACAAACCCCAGACCTTCGGATTCCACAATCTGATGCTCTGCCGCTGAGCCGCAGAGACTCTATGGTCAGCAAGGCCCATGAGGAAGTTCATATTTGTCGCGTGTCCTGCATACTGTTAGGATCGGCAATGTCCAAAGCTTCAGAATTTTTTCTTTCTCCCATGCCCATGACTAGACAAAGAACATCTTTCTATATGTTGTATCCTGCTGGCCATAGAGAACAGCATTGCTCCCAGTGGCTTTAAGATCAGCTCCAGCTGAGCAGGCTGCTTAACCTCAGACTAGTAAGGAATCAAAAATGATTCTAGTGCCTTTCAGTGGTCATGTGCTATCCAGTGGATGTCACACCCAGTTCAAACTCCAAAGGTCTGATCCAGTCTGTAGCTGAAATTATCATTTTTCGCAAGCATCTTGCAGGGCTCAACACTGACTTTTCAACTTACTAGCCAAGTGGGTATTTTACTAGCCAAACTGGCAAGTGGGAATTGAAAAACACCAGCCAAAACTGAATTTCTACTAGTCTGTGGCTAGCTGGCTACCATAAGTGTTGAGCCCTGTCTTGTCTCACACAGCACTGCTCTTCAACCCTGAGGATAAATATTGATTAAAAAAAGGGTTCCACCTTTCAACATCTGCCCTTCATTAGAATGGATACAGACTGTGTGAGTGAGTTAACCCTTTACACACTAACATCAGTATGCATATTCTCCATACTGTTCTCTATACATGTGCTACACTTATAATGCTGACAAGGAGAGCTTCTTTAACCTTAATGTTTAATTCAGGGGTGATATTGTAAGGAGAAATTAGATGCTGGTCACTCTTAGGCAGGACTCAACCCTAACAGAAGCCCACTAGACACATACTAGAAGAATTTCAGTTTTGGCCAGTGGTTTTTGATTTCCACCAGCCAATTTGGCTAGTAAACAAACTGAAATTGTCATAACATCTAAGATGGTCACCAACCACTTGGCTAGTAAGTTGAAAAGTTAGTGTCGAGCCCTGCTTGGGGGTCAAAATGCCAGATCTTATGAAAGTTTTTGTGATATAAAAAGTTATTGTACTGCCTTTTCTCCTGAAGGAATACTTGACCATTGCAGATCCCCCTCCCTTCCCATCAAAACCAGCAAATTCGTAATGAATAATCCCAACCATTTGCTGGTATACATGAGCAATCTATGTAGGACTGTACTCTCACAAGTGACATCTGGATGACCCCTTTACTTTTCTTAATCTTTCTTTCCTGATAGTCTCAACCTGGCCTGTTGCTGTGAAACCAAGGGGATTGGGAACTAGCAGGAACCTGGCTGGTCAGTTTGACCTTCAGTTGTCCACTCGCAACCTAGCATTGGTTAAAAAGGATACCAAAGAACCAGCCACAGAGCTGCAGCTGGTCAATATAAGACGCTGTGGCCACACAGACTGTTTTTTCTTCATGGAGCTTGGGAGGTCCGCAGCCACTGGTGCTGGCGAGCTATGGATTCAGGTCGATGATCAAATCATTGCACAGAACATGCATGAAGCTATACTGAGGTAAATTATGTTCATTAGTATTTAAACAGTTCCCTGGATAATTGGGGAGACATGGTGGCCAAGCAGCGAGAATGCTAGACTCCAAATTGGGAGATCTCAGTCAGAGACCTGGTCAGGTCCTTGTGTTCTGTTTTTCGTGAAAAATACTTTTCTCTCACAGTGCCTCTCTCCGCCCAGGAGAGACAGTGGAAGGGGAGGTAGCCTGGGGGAGGGGAGGTAACCTCACAATGGACTGCCATTCCATTCAAAGGGGGAGGGGGATAGAAATACAGTTAATAATAATAATAATAATAATAATAATAATAATAATAATAATAATAATAATAATAATAATAATAATTAATAATAATAATTAATAATAATAATACTTTATTCAATCAAATCGCAAAAAATAAATAATTTGAAAGAAAGGGAGACACCAGAGGTTAGCCCTATGGAGGGTGTTTCCAAAATAATTATCTAGTTAAACATCTATTTGAATGTACAAATGTAAGAACATTAAGTTGCGATTTAACTATATACACTCCTACTATAAAAACTATTTACAATATTATTTAAAAAGGTAATTCTTGACTTTGGTCTTAAATGTTCATAGAGATTCTGCTTCAGCTACGTCTTAAGGTAATTTATTCCACAGGGTTACGATTCTGACAAAGAGTGAGTACTTGTAACAATTTAATCTAGCTGATTTGACTTTCAATTTATAACAACTATTAGAGCGGAGAGGACGAAAGGCACTAGCATAAGTAAACAAAGATGGATTTAGACCATTTAAACTATGAACTGTCCTAAAACATTCCACCAGTTCCTCCCCCGTGCCCACCTAGGTATAAACATGTTACTTTGGGTGGGCAAACTGTCAGTGAAATCTGATGAAATGCTAAGAGTAAACTGTGATGGCCTACACAACTGTGGAACAGGGAATCCTCCTCGTTCCCTCAGGGAACACAAACTTTATTGAAGTCTCATTGGATTTGTTTTACCTTAACCTTTTTAACTCCCTATGATGACCAAGACAGAATTTATCCTCACAGTGTCAATACAATATAAAGCAGACGAGTGGTGAGAAGAAAAAATATATCAGTTAGGGGATAACCAGTAAAAGTCGATCCAATGCCAAATTCTCCAAACTAACATCATAAGAATTGTATGGCAGATAGAAATCAGAATTACTCATGAGATCTTGGGAGTGAAACTTTACCCACGTGATTTTGAACCACCTCTCTAAGCTGTAACCATTTTGGTCACCATGGCGCGAAGGAACGAGTTTTGGAGACTAAAATCTGCAGCAAAGATGAAAAAAAAAAAAAAGGTTGAAAATTTTGACCTTGGATCCCTGTAAAAAACCTTAATTCTTGTAATATTTCACTAACCTTGTATCTTTTAATTATTTACAGCGCGATGCACAACATCTCCTCGTCTGATCTCCCACCAATTACAAGGCGACGTTGTGAAAGTGAAGGGAAAAAAAAGACTCGCCCTCGTCCAGTGTCCGCCATGATATATCCACCCGGTCGTGGTCGGTCAGACACCGATCCTACTTCTCCTAATCCGTTGGTTCGTACCATAAGTTCCTCAGTTTCTACTCGGAACTTATCAGAGTTTGAAAGTCCCAAGAACAAAACACCATCTGTGTTAAATCGCTTGCGGTCGCGGAGAAAATCAAAGGAAGGTAGTTGCGTCTTTTATCGCTGAGCCCGCAAGCAGGCACTCATTATCAGCGCTTCGGCACGAGAGTTTCTTTACTAACGGGAAATTAGGAGGCCTCGAGCTAAGCGAACCGGCTAGAGGTCTGCAGGGGGCGTGGCACTAGTGCCAGACTCGTCTCAAAATCTTCTCACGAGCGGAGAAACGACTGTGCTGCAAGCCTAATAATAATTGAAGGTTGCTCGCAAGCTATTCATAATTATTCTGTCACTGAATTCACCTATCTGATATGAGTAAATATATTTTTATTCCTAATTTCCCCTAATTGTGGCAGAGGAGTTGACAACTCTACCTGTAATAGGTGCTCAAGTATGCCCTACATCAAAATGATCTGATTTAGAAAAGTAGCTTAAAATTCGCAAGCAATGTCAGATTGTTCTTAAAACATTGTGTGAATGGAATAAGAGAGATACTTGATGTTTTCGATACCAGAACAGTTGAATTACCAGGAATAGGTCGTCAAGTAAAATAATTTATTTCGAGCTCAAAACATAACAAAACCAAGATGGCCGCTTCTGGTGAAAAAAGAGTACCGAAGCCCGCGGTCCTTAGCGGCAAAACCACAAAAAGGGCGGGAAAACGAGTGGTTTATGAACAAATCCTTTTTTACCACTAGACTCTATGCGTGTTCTTCAAATAAGGAGAGATTTTATCTGTTTTGTCGCTAGCTCAGGACAAAGAATAAAACTGAAGCATTGGAGCATTGGATTCATTTTTTATTATAAAGTTATCTGTACCCTAGAGACCCGGGTCTTCTGCGCATGTCCCTTAGGACTTGTTATTGTAATATACTCCATGCAGTTTGGCCAAAGTGCTCCGCAAACTGTTGTAAAGCGCCAGGGGCTAATGGATATGGCGCTATGGAAATCTTTTATTACATTCTGTTGTTCTGGGAAACTTCACTGAGTCCCAGCTAAAATCTGTTAAACGTATTTAAAAATGATCTTTTTTACTTATATCCTCTGCATTAGGCTTGAATACGAGCTTGGAAAGTCCAGTCAAGAACCGAGAAGAAAAAGATTCAGGCTTTGGTGATAAAGTATTGATGCAGCCTCCGTCAAAACCTGTAGAACAGAAAGAGGACCAACTGGGTAAGAAAAAAAATTCATGGCGTGGTTTTGCTTTGCAGAAAAACTCTCGCCACTCAACCAATCAGGTGCAAAACCAAAACCAATCATGACTTGGTCGCTCGCCTTTTTTCGCGCTTTAAGCAGTTTGGTTGTTTTTACCAGAGTTCTCATTGAATCTTTAAGGCGGGTGCCTGCTATTGCCAATGCGCACTCGAGGTGCGCATCGCACCATGGTCGTGCGTGCTCTTGCGTGGGTGGAAGAACTCGTCTCTCGCAATCATCACGCGAGAAACCAGCCTTGGAGAAAGAGATGTTTACCCCTACAATTTACGGACGGTCAAAGTGGTTTACCCGTGGCGCCTTTGGTTGATGAGATCGATTTACTTAGTCATTTGCCAGGCAAAATTACATCCTTATTAGCAAACACATTCCTTAACTGTTGATAATTTCAGTTGCGACAATAATTCTTAAACCGTTTTTGCCAGGAAGTAACACTATTCAAAAACTTTAAACCAAGGGAGTGGACCAATGGCTTTTGAACGGGGAATGAGATGTTGGACGATTTGATATTCATAGGGATTTGTTTTTGAAACTCGTTCAGATATTTTTCTTAGAAATACGGTACAAATCGTGATTTAATTTTGAACAGTGTACATGAATCTTGGATCGAAGACTGTCGGAGAAACATCGAGTATGGAGGATTACATGGCGATGGATGGAGAAACTGGAATTGTAAGTAAAAAATTATTTAGCTCAGAAGCTTTGTTGTCTTATGGGTTTCTTTGATCGTTTTTCTCGTCAACTCAACACCTGGGAGGGGAGGGTGGGGGACGCTCGGTATATTTCGGTCCAAAAGATGTGATTTATTTAGCTGACCTCTAAGACAGTAAGAAGTTTATGAGCTAAACCAAGAGGGATCTTTGTCTTCTCTGCATGTAACAAAGTACAGATAGAAACAAAGGTAGCCTGTGTAAACGTGTTTATCAATAGGATGAAGGTTTTCTTTTGCCTCAGAGGTAACTAAGCTTGTCACTGCAGTACCTCATGTGGGTATATCCTCTGTTGTCCCGTGATTCCGTTGTTCCATTGTTCAGTTGTTCTTGTATTCGTAGCTGGGAACTCACAATTGAACGCAGACGAGGTTGTTGTTGAAGGTCGGTGGAAGGGGGGGATGTCAAATTTTAGTACAGCCGTGAGGGGGGAGAGGATAATCGTTGTCAAAATGTTATGGTATTTTTCCAGCGCAAAAACAGTGACTCCTAAGTGGATATGGAGGCAAGCAAGTCCAAGGCTGTCAAAGCATTTACGATCGTCGACAATGAACAGTCGAACACAAAAACGACGCACGCAGTCCCCAATGGGGGCTACATGGACATGACGTCACTACAAAAACAACACAGTGACAAACAAAATGGAACTGCGAAGAATCCAAGTTCGAGCCCGCGGACTGGGTATGTACAGCAGTCAAAATCGTCGTCTCCTAGGCAACTGAGGACTACAGAAAGTGCGTTACCTAACAAACCAGACATTCGTGAATTTGTTTCTATCAAAACGTCTCCATCTTCTTGCCGAAGAAGATCAAGCCAGGATTATGTTTCAATGTGTCCCCTCGCTGTAGACTCAGGCGGATCTCCTAGTTATGTAAATGTTTTACCCGGGGCGAATTCTCCGAGATCGCGATCTCCGAACCCCGATGCGAGACATCGTAAAGAGGACTCGAACGGTTATTACGTGAACTTTACCCCTGGGGCAGATTCTTCAAACAGGGGGAAATTTCTTGAAATTCCGAGTTTACTTAAACGTGTCAACAACTCAGAAGACTCATCTTCTAACGAAGATATGCATAGTTATGTGAACTATAGTCCTGGAAAGATCATTGATGAGAAAAACTCGAACAACAGTTTTAGAAAGCATAGCCTGGAGTCCGACCTATTAGACAAACCTCGTGCGTACGAAAACATTGATTTCAGCGGTATTACAAAAAGCAAGAGCGCAGTAGATGTGCCCGAGTACGTAAATTTTTTTCCTGGGGAGATCTGCGAAAGTAGCAAGAATGATGTTTTCTTAGTCAATGACGATCGAGACACCGGCTTAGTTAAGGCTCTTGACAATGTCGAGTTTTCTCCTGAAAAGCCTCAAGTTGAAGGGCAAAGATGGAGAAAATCACCTCATGCTAACAGAAGAGATAGCGAACCAGCTAGATTACAGACGCCAAAGCTTGTGACTAACGCTCCACTGACCACAACTCAAGAAGATGAGGAGATCAAACAGCTCAATTACGTCATGCTCGACTTAAGCAATTCCGAGAACTCTTCGGAGTCTCCAAGTCGTCAGCGCCGACGACCTGCGAACATAGACTTAACCTCGTGTCGGCGTGGGTCTCCGGGGCCGAAATCTGCTCCCGTCAGGAGTGCGTACGCTGAGGTGGACTTCACTAAATCTGATGGAATAAGGCAAGCCAGGCAGGAGAGAAGGGAATCAGCCAATACTCTTGTTTTCAACTAAGTAGACAGCGAGAAGCGGTGGAAAGCTGGTACTTCGTTGTTCAATCTATTTGGTGAGCCGGCGATGTGACATGCCTATTTTAGATGGATCGCTATAAACTGCCAGATCACAGAAACGCAGGGAAATACATGAGAGAATTCATGTTTGGATGAGCACATAGAACTTCACAATTGTGAGATTGTCCAAGGTAGCTATTTCCCTAAAAAAAAAAAAATTCCCAATTAAGACGTGATATCTCGTGGCTGATCATTGTGGAAACTTCGGGGCGAAAAATGAAAATTCTTCTCTACTTTAAACAAATATTTCAGTAGGTCTTGGTTAGTTACAGAGAGGATCTGAGGTGTACAAAGTTAAGCCTGTAGCACTTCTTTTGACAGAGGGCTGACTGAAAATCGATAGCATAGAAGAAATTTCATTGAAAATTTTTAGTACCTAGTTATGTCAAAGGCGATGTTGCACGTGCCGATTTGTATATTTGCTGGTAAATGTTACGGCGAATTTATCATTTTGTTAAAGATCTCGTGAAACTTTTCCAAGTCTGCTTGAACGAGATCGTGTTCGGCGATTGCTCGGATTATTCTCAATTGGTCGAAGGGGGATCCGAAAACAATCGTGTTGCTTGACGAGAATTGGCCAAGGGTTGCTCCTCGTATGGTTGGCCAATCGATATTACCTGGTTAATCGATATTACCTGGTTAATCGATATTACCTGGTTAATCGATATTACCTGGTTAGAAAATTTTATGGTAGGATAAAGTTATTGATAAAGCTATTTAAGGAAGCGATCATTTGCGAGCGACTGCGATGAGGATATAGTTGTATGATTTTTTTTCTCCTAGCCCAGGATAACCACTACATTGATATTTTTTCGTACTCTCGCTTTACTGAGATCGATGGTAGTAGGGATGACTGGAAGGGAAGACCTGTTCACCCTAAACTACCAAGATTTGATTGTTAGTTCTCCCCTCTAGCTGCTACACGTTTCTTGGTAAATCAGTTACAAGAATTTGGTGTTAGATCAAGATACCAACTTCTACGTGATAGTTTCAGTAATTCTCATCACCGGTTTATTGGATAATGTAAGTATATCGTAGGGAGAAGTTTCATGTTCATCACTACTGGATTTAAAGATAAAAAGGTGCTGCGGGTTTTTTGTTGGAGAGCTCCTTGTCGGTGCATTAGTTTTTTTCTTTTTGTTCTTAAGGGGATTTAAGTTTTTGTGGGTCGTATGGTTCCACGATACGAGACTTCGCTAGTACTGGTATCCGAATAGACATTGGGATTGCTCAACCTAGTGCCAGTTCCCTCAGGGGGCAAGTTGTTCGTTCTTGGAATGCTATTAAACGTTGTGTCCTGAATAATCAGGTCCACGAAACCAAACAAAAACATGTAACCAAGAAATCTGTCGGGTTTCCTAATCAGCGCCTTATTTAGCTAAAATTGAACCAAGGAGACAGTTAGATGAAAGCTGTTTTCAGAGCTAAAAAGCTAGTGGAAATAATTCTTTGAAGAACGATAACTTTAACTCCAATTTATTCTTTAACTTAATTAAGATGATTAATGCGTCCATCAATTAAAAGCTTCAACATCCCCCTCTCGCGGGCATTTGAACTTTTGAAAACTGGTTTGCTTAAATTTCTCCTCTAGGACACATTTCGATATGTCCTTGTCATTCCTTTCCACGTCTCGAAGGTGTTCTCGGAATCGGTCACCTAGTCTTCTGCCTGTTTCGCCGATGTATATCTTTTTGCAATAAGTGCAAGTTATGCAATAGATTACATTGGCGGAGGTGCACGTGAAGTGATCGTTTAGGCCCCGATATTTATCAGTGTTGTCAATGAAAGGACACGTTTTGCACCGTG